TCTATCACTATTATTTGTATATATCTGAAATTACTCACCTTCGTTTTAATTGTTTCCTAATTAATTTTATCATATATTTTGCTATATATATTTATCCTTTCATTCTATGCTTCATTAATTTCATAACTTATCCATCTTGTAACTTTTTATTCATAATTTTATAACAACTTTAGCTTATTAGATTCTATAACTCAACAATTGGTCTATATATTTTATAATTTTTTTATTCAATTTTTGGGCTTCTAAATAAGATATGGAAAAAATACTATGAAAATTATTACATTTATTGTCAATCTAAAATTAGGCCTTTTTTCCTCCTAAGTGCGAAAACACATTTACTAACTTAATGTAACGTAATTTAACACGATTCATCTTTCTTAATAAGAACGATTCAGAGAAAAGCAGGATCAGTAAAAGTGAAATGTGTATTTTAATTTATATTCTGCTTCAAAAATGAGACAAAAGAGACACAGAAAACTTTTCTGTTATTATTTAATAGTATTCATTAGTCTTTAAAATTCCAAAAGAATTTTTAAGTTGCTGGAATCATATAATAGTCTCATTTGTAACAACTTGTTTTTTAATTTTTTTTCACACAATAGCTTTTATTGTATGTAATTTGCTTTAAAAGTTCAAACATTTATTCTTAGATTGTCATGCAGTCTGTGTGTCTGAAAACTGTATGACCTATTTTATTTTATTTGTTCCTTGCAGAATGGTAATAATTGTTTCTTATTTGGTAATAAAAATCTTACTTTTGCTGAGATCGCAAGAGTTTTGTTTTATTATCATAACATCGATTAATTTTTTTGAGAAAAGTGTAAGTCCTCAGCCTTTCAACCATATTGCTTTAAAACTACTTTCTTTATTTAAAGTAAATTATTAAATTTAAAAATTGTTAAGATTCTCTTATTTGACTCAATATCTTGTCTTTAATGAATCAGAAATAAATAAACAGATTGTCCTTATATTGTTATACAGTTATGATATGAGAATGTCAAAGTTGATGCTTACTGTTTACATTATATTTTTATTTTACAAATCATAAAAAGTTTTCTTTAATCAAAATTGTGTTCACCTCATAAATATACTTTAACTGCGACAAATTTTTAAGTCTTGGCGACCAAAGCTGTGGAATTGGCTAATGCGTATAAAGGAATTTATCGTTTGGGACATAACATTTACCAAAAAGTGGTAAATCTAAGTGCGATTGTTTGGACGCTAATATTATTGGCACTGCAAATGGGAATCATCACATCAAATTTAATCATAGATATCAGTGTCAGAAAAGTAAAAAAGAATAAATTCAGGTATAAAGCTGACAGCAACAATCTCCTCATCATTACACGTATATAAAAAGAAAATTCTTTAGACTCACAAATTGTGTAGTTACTTAAATTAAAGGTTTTAAAAACTAAACAATTAAGCGCAAAACCCTGCTGCATTATTGAATATTGCGTCCACATACTTGGTAAAGACACCATAAATTATTTGAAATAAATTTATAAAAATAATTAAAAAAACTATACCCTACTCATATATCCTACACCCACAACAAAGCTTTATCCTAAAAAGGAAATAAAAAAGTAAGAAATAAATATGTGTTTTAGGAAGTCCTAATAAAAAGAGACTGATAATACGCAAGAACTTTTAAAAAAGCTAAATTTATTCACACCTCATGCGTTTTTTAAATCGTATGTTGCAAGTGAAACATTCGCGAATTAGTATTCGAAGATTTTCGCGCGAAAATTTGAAACCCGACTTGGCGAATTTCAAAATACGGTGCCAAAGAAGTGCCCGGGAGTCGACAATGTGTAAAGTCGTGACCCGCCCTATAAACGGGTTGTGGTTGTGTCAATGGAGTGACGGAAGTCGAAATCCTGGTCATAGATGGCGCCACTGAAAAACAGGAACAGTCGCACCCCCACTGCCTAAACAGGCATACGACAAAGAAAAGAAAATAATAATAAATTATGCTTAATTAATCACATTGACCTAACTTCATTGGCGATTATTAATAATAACAAGTTAATGTGATTAAAAGGCGAAATTTATCTTATTTACTTTTAAAAACCGTATTTATTATAGGCAATCACCGGTTATTAATAATAATAGCTATAATTATAACTTCACCCGTAACATATATACCCTAAAATGGGGTTAATTTGCGACAGCTATGGGACAATATTATGCACCAATTGATGTAAAGACCAAAGAAAGGTATCATATTAGACATCGTCGAAGTACTTGCTTTTATCTTATCGAAGTACTTGCTCATTTGGTACTAGAAAAATCAAATAAAAATATATACTACTTCCAAATAAAATTTCTAATAATTTGCTTGAAGCTCATTTTAAAGTTAAGATTTAAATAATTATATCAATATAATTAATAATAATAGAATTCATAATATTAATAGAATTCATAATATTAATAGAATCCACTTAATCCACTTAAAAAAATTGCAATTAGATATTGTAAATTTTTAGAATTATTTTAAAAATTGTACTTCTGTGTGTAATAAGGTCTACCATAAGGTAGAATAATGTTTCAGTCGATTGAAAGACAATAAATCTAGTATCCCAAAACATTCCTAACTGATTCTTGAACATATTTAATAAAGTTATTATTTGTTTAATTTAGTTTTAAAAATGTTTAATAATTCAACGATACTCTAAAATACAAAGCAGCAATTAAGAGGCCGGAATAGCCTGACTGGTAGGGCACTGGGCTCACGTCCAAGCAATCCCCGTGATCGTGGGTTCAATCCCCGCCGGCCGAGGCCTCTCCGTGTAGTAAATGGTAACTGATACACGTTAAATCTGTCGAGTCTCAAAGTCCTCTATGTTCCCATAACAAATCAATACCTCTGAGGGTACTGATCCAGGCGTTTCCTTGTCTTCTGGAGTGTTTCAAAATTACAAGGCTACGGAGTTGAACATTAGTAGTCGTAAACCCAAAATTGGGTCGGCTGTTCATCGACGGATATAAAAATAAAAATAAAAGCAGCAATTAAGTTTCCCCTTTTTTCTCAATTTTTTCCAATACAATATGAAATATTAATAATAGGTTTTTTATATTATTTTTTGTCCCCGATACCGACAGTCCAAAAAATGACTGACCTATTAGAAAAAACCGAAATCGGTAAAAATGTAAGGTTTGCGCATTGTGCTTGCGATATTTTTGTAATGACCCTACCAACGGCGTACCAACCAGGCTATTACGATCCTATTACTATATTTGTTTACTACTTTCACACTTTATTGGTATTCTCTTCTAGAACAAATTGCTGTGTTAAAAATGGTGCATTCTTATTTAGATTGCTTAAGATATCCCCTGTGCATCCACGGCAACAGCGCATAAGTTCCCGAAAACTTAAAAGATCTCTGTTAATTTAAGTTCTTTCATTTTAAAAATCAAATCTCTTCTCTCAGTGCTACTGCAAAAAAATAGCTAATTTTTTCCAACTTAAGGGTCAGAATAACCTGTATTAAGGTCTTATCCAGTCAAAGGTATGAGTAAGGATAATTTGCAGACCAATGAAATTATTTTAAATGCTTTAAATGTTTCTAAAATGGAATAAAAACAGATTTAGACCTTTATAATCGTAACAATGCTAAGCCATAAAGTAACATTACACAACTCAATGCTTTAGTAACGATTGTATAATGCATAAAATCCATCTTCCCTTTCACCTTTATTTAACGCTCCAACTGTAATTACCTTTAAACCTTACGTAATAAGCAAAGATTTAATTCTCCACAGCAAGTTACTCGATTATTTTTAAACTGTTTGGTTTTTAACTTTGAAAAACAATTAAAAATTGTAAGATATATTAAGATAGAAGACAAATTAAGAATAATAAGATAATAAAAAAAAACTATCCACAATAGTTACTTTTTACCATACTTTTCATATTTTATTTGATCGTGAAAAAAAGTACTTAAAAAATCCTCAAATAAACTTAAAGTTAATTAGATAACTCTGGGCTGCCCAAAAGGGAAGTTAATTGTTATCGATAACAATAGCAATATCGAAAAAATGAACAATGAACATTAACAATTGGTCTATGAGCAACTGAATTATACCTAGTTTGGAACCAAGAATTATTTTAAAGGTGGAAGTATTTTGATCATGATGCTGATTAAAAGCAATCATGATTACATGCGTTCTAGACTACATATTTTATTGTGCATTTTATGTCCTGCAGTGGACTGATCGTAAAGACATGGCTCCCATTAGAACAACGAAGTCAAGTAGTGATAGGCTGCGGTCAGTAAGCGGGTAGTTGACCACGTTAATCAGACTACGTAGGTACCGAGGGTGCTATGTATCGGTCCTCGTTAAACGGTTCTACCGTTAAAGTGCATGACTTCACTCAGTAGTCGGGCTTCCAGAGCTCGATCCTCCGCAGGGGAGCCATCCCCTCTACGGAGGATCAAAATTACGATGGCATGTCTTCGGATCATCCTCAGGGATGTTTCCCAGACTGTCGTAAATTGCTCATTGTGCTGCTACGTAAGTAAAGTACGCAACCTACCTATTATGTATTTTATTATTTATTGTTTATCGATATGGGTATTTAATTATTTATTGCTTATCGATGTCTGTATTTTATTATTTATTATGTATCCACATGCACTTGGACACTTTTTTTCTTCTTTAAAGATCGTACTTTTCGGTTAAAAATACGCAAATCTCAACCTTTTATTCAAAAATTTGGCAGCGTTTTAAGATTATTTCTATATTCAACCAAAACATAAAATTCATTAACATGAAATTTTTCTCGAAACTATATGAATTTAATTTCAAATTATTACGTCCAAAGAATTTGACAGTTGATGAAAGAGAAAGTTATTTAAAAAGAATTCGATCAAATAGAAAGAGAAGGTCAAGTTCAAACGAGGTTACTGATGCATAAAGGGTTCTAATCCCTTCACAAGTAGGTAAACCACTTTCATATGTCTCTTGTATATATATATGGTTAAAAATTTCACTTCTAGTATCACTTGTCTGTTAGCTTCAATCGTAAATCAACATGATTTCAAAGGTAAATATAAATTCTGTGTTGCCCTGATACGATTTGAATTTTAATATGCATTTAAGATTTTATTGAGAAAGTAATTAAAATTTCTTTTGTTTCATTTTCGTTCAACTCATAGTTCAAGTTTTTTTTATATATTTATTTATCAGTTTTTAATTAACTCTCTGTTTTTAAAATATGTATTCCATCAATCTTTGCCCTATTACTTTAAAATAAACAAAATTTTATGATTTATAAAGAAAAAAAATAAATTTTTTTTTGATTCGACGTAAAATATACTCCATAAGAAATGCCTCACTTGTCTAGATAGCAATGTATAAGTTGTTCCACTAGAGATGAGAGAGACTAAGCCCAAGCCGGACTCGGGTCCACCGTAGGCTCTGGCTCGTTTGCCGAAAAAAGTTTTCTGACTTGGGTGAGCTCGGACTCATGAGGAAATTTTTATAACTATTACTATTTTTAAGCAAATAACTTTACTATTTCTACTATCGTTAACTTTACTATGTTTAAACAACTGCCGATCGGACTGTGTAGAGGTCAGAGAACTGGTATTGCATCAAAAAGATTCGAATCCCGGACAAGGCATGGATGTTTTAAGATTCTCTGCACTATCTGTCCTTACTGTGAGAACAGCGTTGGCCCACCTAATAGGGTGGGCCCCTGTAAGCGCGATCAATAGGTCTGCCGTAATACGCCTGAATTGACGAAATGTCAACCCAGGTGGGCATTGGAAAAAAAACTATTTTTAAACAGACATTTGCTACAATTGTTAAGTACAAAAAATTCAAAACTTATTAATTAATTGTGATAAAGCCGTTTTAATGACTAACTTCCTCATATGTACATAGGCAGCAAAGGCACGAAATTTTGCCTTTATTCAACGTAGATCTCGGGCTGACTCGGGGCTCCAAATAATCTTATGTATCTCGAGCAAAGGTGAGCTTGGATTAAAATTCCTCGTGCTCGGACCTCCAAAAGCGAGCCCTAACTCATCTCTCTGTTCTCTACCACCTTTCATAACTTTACACTTCCTAGTAAATTCACAATGCGCTGACTAAAGCTCACTGCGTGGGGGAAAACCTCAAATATTCATTGGAAAAAAAATTGTTGGCAAACCCGTCTCTGGTACTTTGCAATATGCTGCAGACCTTCTACCTCAATATTTCCTAATCAATTTTAAGCTTTTAGTAATAAGCTTAAATACTTTTAAGCTAAGTAAAAAAAATATATCATTCATTAATCAGTTTATCTGCTATATTTTAGGCAACTTTCAATGAGCCCATGCAAATACTTTAGGCAAGTTTAAATATATGTAACTCCTAGCTCAAATAGTCAGATTCACTATGATTCTCCATTCAAAGCATATGAGGCTCATAGTAAATAAGCTTAAGCATATTTAGGCTGATTGAGTAAATCATCATAAATTGTTAATGAGTGAAAAGGCGAATGGGCAAATCGCAATAAGCCAAAAATTTATCGGGCTGCTTTTTATTTAATAACCATCGTTGAACAGCCGATAGACTTGTAGTGACTTCGCATTCTTGTCATTTTGAACCCGATTCAGAAGACAAGGGAACTCCTGGATCAAGTATTTTGAAAAATTTGACTTCTTGAAAGACTTATTGAAGGAACTAAGTCACATTTCCGTTACATGGTGAAGAGAAACCACGAAAACCTCCCATGGTTACACTGACGGCAAGGATATGATTCTCTATTCAAAGCATACGAGGCTCATTGAAATAAAGCTTAAGCATATTCAGGCTGATTGAGTAAATCATCATTAAATTGTTAATTAGTGAAAAGGTATATGGGCTAATTGTAATAAGCCTCAATGTTATCAAGCTGATTAGAGCAATACTGGGGACTTTCGTATTTAATTTGACGAAGTATTATAAAATGACGACTTGAAATTAATATAGATCAAAGATTGCTTGACCAGTAACCCCACCTCTATACTTAAGATCAAATGCTACTAAAACGTAATATTTGCTCTTATATTTATGTTAGTCATTAGTAATAGATTGATGAAAGCAACATTTGCAACAAACCAGATTTTTCACTCAGCTTACATTGGAACTAAACCATAACTTTTCAAACAGTTTCCAGCTTTCCTTTTATTATTTCCGCATTAAACTACTTAGTTACTGGCATAATTAACTCAAAGTAATACTTTTGTTATGGTTTGGAACGAGCAGCTTTCTTTTCTGAAATTTATTAATGAAAATTATTTTCTTTTGGATGTATATTTACAAATTACAGTTAGTAAGATTACTTCGATATTCTGGTAACAATGCTTTCAAAGAAACAAAGTATATTTAATATTTTCATTTATTTTCAGTGCCTTATTTTAGCCGTCATTGTCGTTGTGACTATCGCACATCCTCCTCTGGTAAGAAACACTTCTTCAAAGATTTTTTTTTTCTTATTTTTAGATTATTTTGCATTCATTTATTTTCTACATTCTCAGCTTTTTCAGATTCAAAATGTAAAATATGAAACTATCACATTGCATATCATTATTCTGATTCAGTGGAAAAAATAATTCTGCACAATAATAAAAGTTTTTATAAGACAACACATTAGCAAGATTATAAAAACGTAGAAAAAGAATTTAAAGAATTAAAGTTTGATACTTTTAGCAGATAATTAACTATTTGTGGTTGAATATCAATGGAGAGTTACTCACTAGTTTTTAATGACTACTTTTTAATCCAGGAATTTTTTTTCCTTTGTTTGATAACGCTGATGAAAAAAAAATTTTCCTGTTGCATGAGATTTTTTTAACAGATCTTAGATACCTTCTTATCAGTAATTTCAAATCTACAATCGGTTTTTCTCACAAGTTTAAATTTTTTCTTCTTCTTCTTGTGCACTACAGCCTATGATAGGCCAAATCCGTCATAATAAGTTTTTGTCTTCTTGATCTATTCTGTGCCATGGCCTTAAAGTCAGTTAAATTTTTTCAAAAATAATATGCCGAAATATACAAGTTTAAAAACTTTATATATTATACGGGTTGCGCAAATGTTGCGACAAACTTTTACGGCAGTTGGGGAACACATCATCAAGATAAAAATGGCATAGGAATGCGTGTCTGGAAATGTCATTATACGCCACTAGGGATGCTCTCCTGTTTCTCTTGGTACTAAAGGGAATTATGAAGCACTGAGGGCAATATTAATACATATTATTCCTCTTCCAAGGGAATCCCCATTTACAAATTGTTCAGAAAAGCACCACGAAAGTGATAAGATTTCGAACGATTCCGAGGATCGAACGAAGGACCTGCTATAGGGACCTATATATATANCACACACACACACACACACACACACACACACACACACATATATATATATATATATATATTGAAGAGTTTCGTTTGATGAATTGTTTTGATGTTTTGATGAATAACAATTTACAATAATCTATTGTAAATTGTTATTCATCAAAACTTTATCGTGATTAAAAATAATTGATTAGAATTGAACAATTTTTAATTTTTAATGATACGGAGGTAAACTCCAATAAATATAATTCTTTCTCTAGGACCATGGTCATCACGCTCCACACCCATACAAGTTTGGATACAGCATCAAAGACAAACATGGTGAACAACACAGAGAAGAATCCGGAACTGGTGGTCATGTGACTGGAAGCTATGGATTTACAGATGATCGTGGTATCCACAGACAGGTCAACTACGTAGCTGATCACGGTGGTTTCAGAGCTCAAGTCAAGACCAACGAACCAGGCACCGCCAACCAAAATCCAGCTGCCGTTCACATTCACTCATCTGCTCCAGCATACGACCATCTGTATGGTGGATATGGCTATGGAGGATATGGTAATGACGGAGCTGGTTTCGGTTATGCTGGTCTGAATAATGCTTATTCCGGGTACGGAGGATTAGGAAATTCTTACGGAGGTTATGGTCTTGGTTACGGCGCTGGATATGGTGGATATGGTTTATCTAGTGCTTTGTTGGGCACTTTGCCATATGCTCGATATGGTTACTGAAACCGCAAACTGTAGTAAGGCCACAAATTGTAGCAAACTACAACTGTGTTAAAAAAAATCCAATATTCCTGCCCTTGGATACCAAAGTTTCTGTCATTTTGCCAAATACTTTTTATTCCTGAATTATCATATTTTATGTATTCGATATTTATGAAATAAATACTGTGCATAAAAAGAGAAGTTTCCTATATTATTTTCGACCATTGAAATAAAATTTTCATCAACATTCAAGTATAAGGAATTTAATAACTTACATTGAAAATTTCATTTCTTATCCATTTAGAAATAAATACTGTATTTAAAAGAATAGTTTCTTTCATTACCTTAGTTGATGTACAATGCGCATTATAAAAAACTTAACCACTAGCTTTTGATCTAATCATGGGATCTTCACGTTCTAAGACTCATTCTTAATGCTTCGAAAAGGTGACCTCAATTGTGCTATTTAATTAGTGCAAGCTGTTAATCAGACACAAAAACGTAATTTTTCTGAATAAACATACAGTTTTTCTCGAAGGATTAGGATTCTTGGCCCCCAAAATATCTAGGAAATATGAAAAATAAGATCCCAACAATTTTGTTAAGGAAAGAGGTCCAAATTTCAAACCTCTCAATGCTAATTTTAATTTCTACGTATTTCGCGATAGCTGGAAAAAATTTTAAGCAAATTTAAAATGTTTGCCCACAACTATAAAAAAATTTTATCCAGGGATAATTCCATGCAAAAATGTTTAATAAATATTTATCATTTATTTTTATTATTTTGTTTAATGTCTATCGAAAATATTTTAATTGTAAGGTATGCAATTTTCACATCATTATAAAAAAACTTTTACAAGGAAAAATACAAAATTTGAGGGAAATGGGTCGAATAGTTCCTGAGAAATTGAATTTTTAAAATACGACTTTCTTAAAATCCAATTTCTCAGGAACTATTCGACCTCAAATTTTGTATTACATTCCTAAATTACATTCCTTAAAATGCTGTACAAATCTGTATAACTTACAATTTCCAAATTTCTTCGACTAACATCTAATATATATAATTCTCTTACGTGGCTCCCAAATTTTAGCTGTATTTCTTTTCCGCCGGTGGCAACGTTTGCTTTGTTTTGTTTACGTTACTATTTCTCTTACACGGCGAATCGACCAATGATTGCCGCTAAAAATGTCACATGCCAAATCTAGCTGAGGTGGCTCAACATATAGCGCTTTTAAAAACGGAAACTGAAATAACCAGAGAGCATCAGCTGCGGCAATCTCATACTATTAAGCTAGGCAGAAGTGAGTAGTCTTTGTCGATAGATCTCTATTTTAGTATTTTGTCGAAAGCGCTTTTTTTCACGAATTTATATATTACGAATTTATTTGACGATTTTTGATTTATATCACGAATTATACTATAGCACATTTCTAATAGGTTTAACGAATTACATGTAATTTATTTGAATTCAAATTTATTTTAATGACTTAGTAATTACTAAAATGATGTAATTTTTTTTAAAAAAAAAAGCTGTTATATGGATTTGAATGATTGTTTTGAATTCTTAGAATTTTGGGTATTTGCAATGTATCTAAGTTAGTAGCGAGCGAAGCGAGCTTGGTTTGCGAAGCAAACCATATAAGATTGCGTAGCAATTTTCGGGGGTTGGCGAGCGTTAGCTAGCAGGGGGAGCAACCCACTAGTTAAATAAAATAACAAAAAATGATAAAAATTTACAAAAAAATTTTTTTGCTTGGAATAATCTTTATATAAATGAATCTTTTAATTGTGTCCAAAAATTTGAGAAGTTTTTGAGTTATGGCGAAATACGTAAAAAGTAAAATTAACATTAAGGGATCCTAACTTTAGACCACATTTTCCAGATTGCAGCTATCCCCTATATTTTGGGAGCCAAAAATCCGAATCCGTCAAGAAAAAGGTATGTTTCTTCTGAGAAAGTACGGTTTTGTGTCTGATTTCGCAGCTTGAAATAGTCTGCATTAACAAATCAGCATATTTCAGGTCACTCCCCGAAACTTGAAGATTGAGAAGTGAAGAACGTTAAGATCCGATCATTAGATCAAAAATTATTCAGGGTGGTCCATTATTTAGTTTTCCCACTGTACATTTAATGACTTCATATTGAGAATGTCATTCTATCTGTACAAATGTTTTCTCGTTACGCCACTTTTAATTTGTACAAACTTTGAAAAAAAAACATGAAGATCTTTCTTTAATTTACTGGAAAAAGAAAAATAGTTTTCCCGTTTTTGGATTGTTTAAAATGCTTTTTCGACTCATGCCTTTACTTCTAAAACATAACATAGAAATTTTAAAAAAATATTTTAAAAAACATCTTTACTTGATGCTTGTTTATAAAACATTACTTCATTAAAAAACGACTTCATAATTTTTGCTAAAAATGAGAAGAAGAAAAATAGTGTGATCGCCTTTTTGTTGAAAGCCGATTCCGCATTCCATAATTCATTACATAATTCCGAATCCGAAAAAGTATTCCATGAGCATTTAATTCCATAAAAAAAGCCAAAAGGAAAGTTCTAATACAAAACAATAGATACAGTTACTTTTTTTATTTGCTTATTTATCTTTATATATATAACCGTCGTTGAACAGCCGACCCAAATTTGGGTTTACGACTACCAATGTTTAACTACGTAACCTTGTAATTTTGAACCCAATCTAGAAGACAAGGGAACTCCTGAATCAAGTATTGGGAGAAATTAGCATTCGTGGAGAACTTTTTGATGGAACTAACCTGCATTTGCGTTACATGGAGAGGAAGACCACGAGAACCTCCCACGGTTAGCCTGACAGCAAGGGGTCTCTAACCCATGATCCGTCTACCACTGAGGATATTTCACGCTAACAATGTAGACGGTGCAATCCCGATGCGGAATTCATATCTACAAGCCATTGCTGTGATTCGAAACAGGGTTACCTCATTAGAAGGCGAAAACTCTACCCCCTTATCCATCGCGGCTCTAGACGCTTTTACTGCCTGACTATAGCTAAAGTACTCCCCTCGCCAGATGTCTAGATCACTGCATTCTGGCGAGACATTTATCTTTAAATTTATTTTTCGCACTGTACAGTTGGCTATGCTCTACTTTTATCTATAAAGTTACAAAATTACATACAAATATGGCGCTATGATTAGCTATCAAAAAAAACATTCTAAATAGGTACTATGAAAAAGCACTAATATATGCCATGCAATATTTTTTAATGCGAAAAATTTTTAATTCTTAAACTTTGAGAATAAATAATCTAGTTTACTAGAATAAATAATCTAGCAAACTTTACATTTCTAACCTCTTCGAGCTGTGATGGTTCAAGGGGTGGAGCGTTCGCCTCCAATCAGGTCAACCGAGTTCGAATGCCAGGGATGGCTGGTCGATACAAACTCAGCATCCGGTCTAGAACCAACTACAGTGCTGACGTAAAATATCCTCAGTGGTAAACGGATCATGGGTTAGAGTCCCCTTGACATCGGGCTAACCATGGGAAGGTTTCATTGTTTTCCTCACCATGTAAAGCAAATGATAATTAATTCCATCAAAAAGTCCTCCACGAATTCACATTTCTCCCAATACTTGATCCAGAATCTCCCCTGTCTTCTGAATTGGGTTCAAAATTACAAGTCTACGGAGTTGAACATTAGTAGTCGTAAACCCAAATTATTGGGTCGGCTGTTCAACAACGGTTATAAAATAAAATAAAAACTAATAAAAAAATTTCTAACCTCTTCCGATATTCAGCAACTACATTTTCGAATCCTTCCTCATTTAACAACATTCGATACCCCTTTCCCTAAGTGCACAATTTTCCACAATATTTATTGTGCCATAAAATGCTTTCAACTGATTAATATTTAAATATTTAAGAAATAAATAAAAAACATCGATACATATTTTATAGCCTTATAAGGATTCATAAAAAAAGACATAACGGTTGCTAGTAATCCCTATAATTTTACTAGGGGTCAACCACACCGAATCATAATAGTATGTCAGTTCAGTTATTCCATATGTTACTTTTATATTCGACTCACTTTGTTTTTATAAAAATTCCATTTGATAAACTAATGTAATGTGCAGAAATAGAAAGTTAAATCACTCAACCATGGAGAATATTTCTAAATTTCCCATTAAATTTCATTCATTTAAAGATATAAAATATTTCTTGAGATAAGGTAAATTAATTAATAAAAAAACTAATTCTTTGTTTCCTTGCCGAATTATCTCATGAGATGAACAACGAACTGTTAGTGACTGAAAATTCAGATTCTTTTTCCCACGTCTCTCATGTTCAACTATAACGTCAATCCTTATCAAGTTTCCTTAGTTTCAAAGCCTAATTTTAAATATAATAATTATTTTGTGCACACGATGGAAGGAATCAATTTTCTGAAAAGCGTTTATTTTTTTTTCTTTCCATCGGATTTGAATTTTTAACCCTCAAACCCTCAAAATATGAATGGCTGCCTTAACCAGGAAATTATATATTCCCAATAGCTAAATAGGTAAAATATCGAAATTTCGAACTTTTACAGCATTTTTTCAGTTTTCACGAATTTTAAGAATTTTACTGGACTTCTTGAAATATTTAAGCGAATCGAAATATTTTTGCACGCAAATGGAAAATCAGTTTATTCAAAAATAATTCCATACAAAAAGAACAATTTTTTTAAAATTGTTATTTTTCACTTTGCAATTTTTAAAAATTGCCAAAAATTTTTTAAAAAAATACTTATGCAAAAAAAAAAATTTATGCATATTAAAGTATATATAGTTCAGTTTGTAAAATACAAAATCTGAAAAGAACCTGTCGACTAGCTTCTAGGGAAATTAAAACTCAAAAGGTATAGATTTATTTTTTTCTTATTTATTTGCTTACTTCTGTTTGTGCATAGTAAATTTTTATGAAGCTTTTCATGTATTATTTCGTGAATAAATGTTTCGTTCCCCATAAAATAAGGTTTTTCTTTTCTCAAAATATATTTCACTTTTTTTTCTCAAACCCTTTTCTTACGTCGATTTTTCTATACAAAAATCCTTAAATTTTTTATTTCAACTACAAAAGGGAATAATATTTAATAGGGGAAAAGCTAAAAATCTATTGAAGTTCTTCAAATCAATTCGGAGAAAAATGGGAAGAAAACATCAAAACCTGTTTAATTTCCGATTTGAAAAGAGATGAGTTTAAAAGTGCTTTCTAAAACCTCTTTTAAGTTTCATTGGGCAATCAATCAGGTTTTGATGTTTTTGCTATCCTCATCAGCGATTCAATACACGTCAATAACATAATTGTTTCTTCCTCAATCAACTATTAATTATCGATCCATAACGTGGGGACTTTTTAGCTTCATTTTTTGAAAGGATTTTAATTATGCTCAGACATTACGAAACCTTTTGCATAATTTTATCCTTATGTACCTCTTCACACTTCAAAAAAAATTTTTTTTCATTAAGGAAATCCCTTTGTGATTTTGCAACCCATTGAGTACAGTAAAAAAATTTTTTACAATAATAAAATCACAAAAAATTACTCTTTCTTTAAAATTTAACATTTTTTTCCACAATATTTTTTAACAGAACAAACTATTCGCAATCGCAACGCTCGATGTAATGATTGCAACAACCAAGTATTAATCTTCACACCTTACCTCTTATCTTCTGATCAGTTGTCGGGGAATCTACTGCGATATTTTCCCCTTCCTTAATATTTTTTGCTTTTAATTGTCAAAACAATTTTCACAAATTTCCGCGGCACTTTTTATAATAATTTTGTTTATTGCAGTTTCGAGTTCTAAACAGTTGCCTACATTAGAAACTTTCAAGTTGTTTGAAAATCAAGACAAAAACTAACGTATTTCCTTCTGCTATGATGATCTACACTTAAATAGTGAAAGCATGCGAAGTGTTGAATTAGGTAAAGAGTTCTACTGTCCACCATCTGTAGCCCATTTCTATCGACGGAAATATAAAAAAAAAAAAGCAAATAGGAATCTAGAAGGAAAATTGTTTGTATTACTGAACACCAAGAAATCATTAACTGAAATATTAACATTAATAATATTTGTCAAAAGAAAATATTATTTCACATTTACTTCGGAGAACTATCTGTATTTTTCGTTTCATTCCATTTATTGAGCCGTTAGATGGAGCACATATTCTCATTTGTGGAAATGTTTGAAGTGATATGACGTCATTACTCATAATGTTTGTTTGCACTGTCAGAGCCTTACTTAGGCGTTTTAATACATATAACTAAGCTATAAGCAGTTTTAAATGTATTAAGTAAAACTTTGTTATTGGCTTCTGTTGCCAACTTTTGATCATGGACTAGATCGAAGACGAAGATAATATAAACATTTTGGTTTTTATCGTAATGTGACAAGTAAAGTCGAGAAAAATGCTAAGTCCTGCTGAAAAATATGGATTAGAGAACTTACTTGAGGAACTTGAAAGCGAGGACTTATTTTCTCTCTTTCATACTATTACAAAAGGACGAATTCGTGGGACTAAAAATCGCAGTGGTTTGTAACAATTTTATAAATATCAACAAATAATTGACACCATCTGAATTATTGAGAATTAATTTATGTTTATTCAAATATATGATTATATTTTGTTGTATAGGTGTGGAATTAATATTTATATTAAGGGAATTATAGTTTTGAGCAGAACAACAAACTATCTCTTTATATTCTAATTTTCTTTTATTGTTTTATCTCATTTTTTCAAGGAATTTTAAATAAATTAATTTAATTCAAAAATTGTTGAAATTAAATTATTTTGTTTTGCTGTTATAATTTTTAAGTTTTTTTTTTTTTTTTTTTTTTTTTTTTTTTNTTTTTTTTTTTTTTTTTTTTTTGTTTATTTTAAAGTCTTACAGCGTAAAATCTAAATTATAGCTTCAAATTAATTTATAAATAGGATTGTTTAAAGAAAATGAAAGTTAAAAAGTAATAATAATAAATTTTATTGTATTGAAATAGGAAAGGATTCTGCAGAATCAGCACTGTTAGTAGTTCAACTTATTAGCTTAATGTTTCATAATAATTTGGCATAATTAATTATTGGAATGCTAGAATATATATTTATAATGCTGGAAGGTCTTCAAGGGCGCCGGCAGAATAATATAAAAAGGTGGTGCAGCCCTCTAACAATAAAAAAAAATTATTTATGTATGTATATAGAAAAATAAAACTATTCTGTTATTGCATTTTCTTTTGTTATTACATATACTTTTATCTGTTAATTTTTTTCGGCACACATTTCTTTATTGTTAACAAGATATTTTTTTAAAAAAAGTACAAATTTCTTGCACTTGCAAATTTTGCCACAAAAAACTGTATTGATGGCGCTAGCATAACTACTGACTTTGAAACACNCGGTCTGGGAAACATCCCGGAGGATGATCCGAAGACATGCCATCACAATTTTGATCCTCTGCGGAGGGGATGGCACCCCCGCTTCGGTAGCCCGACGACCTGCGCGCGAAGTCGAGCAAATTATTTATGTATATATAGAAAAATAAAAATATTCTGTTATTGCATTTTGTTTTGTTATTACATATACTTTCATCTGTTAATTTTTTTCAACATACATTTCTTTATTGTTAACAAGATATTTTTTTTAAAAAAGTACGAATTTCTTGTACTTGCAAATTTTGCCACAAAAAACTGTATTGATAGCGCTAGCATAATTACTGACTTTGAAACACAAATAACTACAAACAGTAGTTTTGTATACTAGCGTGTTTGTGCACGCTTAACATTGGTACCTATTTATTGTGTTGATATACATACTTTGTATAAAGATGTGCTCTCACCGAATTTCATCACTGAAGCTACAACGTGGCACAAAATGTGGAGGAATAAAAAAAAATCTTATGAATCCCTTGAATACATCGATTTAGTTATTGAGGCCACATCGTTTTATTCCAGCTGTGGCGGAGGCAATCAAAATTAACCTATCTCTTCCAGCTACTACGTGCACTATTGAACTCACTTTTAATACAATCCGACGCATCAAAACATGGAATCGGTCAGCAATGTCTCACGAGAGATTAAGTAGTTTGTGCATGCTCAGTGTGCATAAGAAAAGAATCAAAGATGACTCAGAATTCATTGAAAAAGTTATAAACAGATTTGGACACCAAGACGATAACAATTCTTGTTTGATTAAACAATTTTTTAATTGTTTTGAATCAATAATTACTTAATTATATGTTTTTGAATAAAAAAATTTTATTGCAAAATTGTTTTTCTGTATCTCTTTAATTGTTTAAAAAAAAAGCCAGGGAGGTGCAAGTGCACCTCCCTGCCGGCACCCTTGAATGTCTTCTTTAAAGCAACTCTTTTATTACCGTATAATAGTGTATAGTTAAAGTATATTTATTCCGGGTGTGTAGCCAAATCTTTGAAGAAAAAACAAGCACCTGTTAAGTACTTTTTAAGCACTATATACTTTATCAAAATGCACAATAATTTCCACAAACTTTACATGATCATGATAAAATAACTAGTTTCTGACAAAGAACTCTTTTCTTGATTATATTAGCCGTTATAAAATGATCGAGATATTTTTCTCTTTGATATCAGAAGGTGGAAAATGAAGTCTGAAATTGAGAATATCTTGCAAAATGCTGCAGAGTTGCACATGACAGTGCAATAATCTCACCAAACCCAGCTCAGTAGATGCACATGCAGACTTGCGAGTATTTCATCACACATGTAAAATTATTGGCGCTTTCATACGCTATGGCTCGACAGTATGCCGAATTGAATTGTGAAAACATTGAATAGAACAATATGAAAAGCACGCTTTTGCATAATCTGTAGCAAAAATCGACATGGTAACGAAAAAAAATCTTTTTTGAAAAGTGAAAATTAAGCACTTTTTAAAAACACCCAATGAAAAAAGCACCTTTAATGGCTTTTAAATAACGGAAATCGAAAATAAGCACCTTTTAAAAATGCTACACACCGTGTTATTAAATAAGAGACCCACAATTTGCACATAAAAATTAAAATAGAATAGTTATATATTTACCAGTTTATAAGGGCAATATTCTTAATTTTTGTCAGTTTTTTAAGTGGAAGATTTATTCCATTTTTTTTCTACCAAACATATACCTATAAATATTTTCTCTTTTGATTGCAAGGATTTATATTATTATGTTCAATATTTTTAGTATGAGAGTGAAGTGAAAATATTGGCTGCCATTGTAACTTTTATAACCAATAACAAGAGTAACAGCTCTTCAACCTTTTCATAGGATAAATTTAAAATTAGCATTTCTTACCTGAATATAATGAACTGGTATGACACCTAATTTCAGAAAACTTCCATCCCAATTATAGAAAATAACATATCAATTATTATTTTCTTTGTAGTAGAGTTACTTACACTTAATAATGCCTGTTATCATTTAGTTGATAACTATAGTCACCAAATATTGTTGCTAATATTCTTATATTGTAATATTTTATCATAAAAACTAACCTCTATATTATAAAAACTTAAATATTATTGACATCTTAAAATTATTTTTGTTGACTGTATAAAAATTGTTTATTTGTTATATGCATTAAAATTAGAACAGTTGCTGTTTATCTACACATCACATTAAAAACTAATTTCTTTGTCAAATTTTTTTAGAGGCCATCACAACAATTCTATCTTGCATTGAAAAACCAACTGAGGTTTTAAAGAGGCAAAAAATTACGATAAAAGTTTTATCATCCTACTTAAGAAAGCTTTGTGGATCCATTTCTTTAGATAATTCTAGACTGGAGCTTATAGACAGGTGCTTACAAGAATGGAAGAGTACAGATACTTCACGGGTAAGTAATCATTAATTTTCTCAAATACAAGGGAAAGTAATCAATAATTTTATTTAATACACGGGGAAGTAATCATCATTCAATAAATTGTGTTGTTAAGAAAAATGTATCGACATAATATTAAAAAAATATGCTTTTACAGTTTATATATTTTCTGCCTCTTTTTTTTTAATGAATTATTTTCATTCACTTTACTCATTTCTTATACAAATCTGTTATGATTTGATTCCAAAAACTCACAAATAATATTTATAACTATTTTAGGCCATGGATTGTTGGGAGCCAGAGAAGGAAGAAACAGAAACTCCTTCTAAATCAGTAATTCCTACAAAACAAGAAAGTTCGTTAGATGAGCAATTATTCGGAGTTCGATTTATCAAATGGTTCTTTCCACTTCTCAATCAACTTCAAGACTTTGGTGTGGAACATTTTTGGCAAGATGCCATGCTTAAAGCTTATATTGTCTCGCCTTTTGAAAATGAGGATCTTGATATTGGTAGTGATTGCAATACTGTCAATTTCCTAACCAATCTAATAGCTCATTACAAATTCTCTTTTCTTCCCAATGACTCATCAGTGCAATGCAAGCAAGAAGCTCATGGTTTGATCAAGATAAGTGTTAAAGGCACTGTGCACCAACATAATAACAACCCTATAGGGCTGTTTGAATTCTTGTTTGGGCTCATTCGAAACCCAGAGTATGAAAATAATTATAAAATAAAGCAAGTTCTTTTATCTATGAATGTGAACGTAGCTTTCAAAAATTTGTTACCATCAACGTAATAATTGAAATTTTATTGATGACTGAAAGTATCAGAACTATGAATATTCCTTTTTTAATCTCACAGTGATTACAATTCTGTCAACTTCCTAACCAGTCTAATAGCTCATTACAAATTTTCTTTTTTTTCCCCAATGACTCATCAGTTCAATGCAAGCAAGAAGCTCGTGGTTTGATCAAGATTAGTGTTAAAGGCACTGTGCACCAACATAATAACAACCCAATAGGGCTCTTTGAATTTTTGTTTGGGCTCATTCGAAACCCAGAATATGAAAATAATTATAAAATAAAACACAAGTCCTTTTATCTATGAATGCGATCGTAGCTTTTAAACATTTGTTACCATCACCGTAATAATCGAAATTTTATTGATGACTGAAAGAATCAGAACTCTAAGTGTTAATTTTTTTAATGTCATGAGCCATGAGAAAGAATATTAAATTTCCTATATTAATTGAATTAATATATATGCAATTTATTAGACTGCTTATTATTTTGCAAAGTTTTAATTAATGTAATGAGTGCAGTGTTCACAAAAGGACCACCTGACTAACTTCTCATTTAATGATCAGATTTTCACATGATAAATTTTTTTTTGCACATTTAGATAAACAAGTTTGATAATTGTGTGCCAGAACTTTTTATTTTGCTTAACTAATTTCAGAGGACATAGTTATTGAAACTTTCAGCCACTCTTTTGGCCTAACTATAGAGACCATATTTTTCTAATCGTAATTATTGAAAAATCTGAATCTGTAAGGATAAAATTTGGTACCCACTTTGTAACTTAAAATGTCATTTCCAATAACAACTTAAAATCTTTTCAGCTCATGAGGTTATCATCCAGTGCATAAAAATTTAATAATTCTATTTAAAGTATGTTCTATTTTCTTTTTTGACTTTTATGAAATATACTCATAAAAATAGCAATGCAGTAAAAAATTATAATAATGCATAATAATAAAAATAATAATGCAGTAAAAATATTTCACATATATTTTCTTTAAAGTATTCATCATAGTGACTTGAAACTTTATTTCTATGTTTATGCAAAAATAGTGTTTTTTTTTTTTTTTTTAATTTGTTGAAAAAATGTTGAATTTGTTTTGATAAAAAATTCTATGTAACATAAAAATTCATTGTTATTTTCCAAATTTTTTTCATTGTTTTAAGTGTTCAATGTGTAATTAAAAGTTATTGTGTCTTAAGTTGAAGTTGTTTAATTGATTATACAATTAAAAGAAAGTTGATAGTTAAATGAAAATAACTGACTGGACTTTCAATTCTCAGTTTTACAAGTTTAAGCTGTCTCATAATTATTCACATATTCTGTATATAAAATTTTCCAATTAAGATAAATGGAACCAGCAGGGCTTTTTTTATATTTTATATTCTTCAAATTTAGATTTTTTCTGTAGTAACAATAATTGTTCCTATAATTAAAAGTTAAAATAACCTATCATAATTTGTCATTTACTTAATAGTTACATGAACACATCAAAACTAAAGACATTTAGTTTTATATGTTTAGGATTCACACCAGCATAGTGACACAGTGGCAATTGGTTTCAAGTAATTAACAAATATCCTCAAAATCTTATTCATGGACGATAAATATGTTCCTTTCTTTGAAATATTCACGTATTTAGTTATTTTTCTTGTATTTAAAAAAAAATCTTGATATTGTAAATCAGGCATGCATCTATTGCAATATTGCCAAAAAAGTTATTGAAAAAAGTTTGTGGATTTACAAAAAAATTGTTGCATATCAAATCCATTGATAACTGATTACTCTAATGCATGATGCAAAATTCATATGTCTGAATTATATTATCAACAAAAAAAAAATCATGTTAAAATCTGTAGCCATTAACTTCTGAAAAATTAATTGACAAAATCTCCTAAAATTGCAATGGTTTTGTAATTAAAAACATTGGGAATTTGTAAACATGTAGAAATCTGTTGTGCTAAATGCTGAAAAGGTTTTTGGAAACTGGGAGGATTACAGTAAAATCCTTGCAAGTTGAGCATCTCTATAAAGTTATTTTAAAAAATAACTCTAATGTGGGATTAATGTATCATAATCGTGCTGTAACTATATTGTTAAAAAAAAAGAAAAAAAACGTTTTAAGGACTATACGAATATAATCATAAGTGTTTAGAATATTTTAAAATTGAAATATGCTGTTCTTGCATAAACATAGGCAGTTATGTACCATGAAATATATGTATAATGTGTGTCTCTTTATAATTTAAATTTCATTACATATGTCCACTGTATATTTTATGATCACTAAATGAAAAATTAAATTATCCTTTTAAAGTGCAAAATTTTTATAGCTGATGTGAGCTCTGCATATGTTGCATATATTTAAAGTATAATATTTATCCCATATTAAATAAAAATCTGTGGTCTGTGTTTGCAAAATGTGTACTGAGAGGTAAATGAAATGTATTTTTTTTTCTATTTTTTATGCAAGTCAAAATAAAATAACTTATAAGTTATTTTCACTCACTAACTTAAGGAAATCATTAAAAATATGATCATCTATTAGGTATATTATAATGTTAGCAAAATAGTTCGAATAAAACTAATATTTGCTTTAAGTTTTTTTTTTAATGATATTTGAGCTTAAAGCTTCAACTGTCACAAGGTCTTGTTAATCCCTTGTAGTGACAAGAAACGAAATTCTCTATCAAGAAGGAGATAAATCCTTTAAGTTACTTATTGTAATGTTAATGAATTGAAAGTATATTTGTGTTTCAATAAACTATATCTTTGTTAATAACTAGTAGTGACAAGAAACGAAATTCTCTATCAAGAACGAGATAAATCCTTTAAGTTACTTATTATAATGTTAATGAATTGAAAGTATATTTGTGTTTCAATAAACTATATCTTTGTTAATAACTTTTGACTAATTAATTATGATTCTTAACATAAAACTTCTACCAAATAAAACTTTCTCACTTGCGCAATTTTGATTGAAAACAATTTGAGTTGAAACAATGTAGTAAGTGTTGATGTGTCATAATGACCACTCTTAATATAGTTTCAGAATCTATTTAAAATATATTATAAAGAGTAAACTGTAAGATGGAAAGCAGAAAATGGTCTCTAAACTCAGATCGTTAATTATTTAATCAAGAAGAATAAAAGAGGGATTGAAATTATTAAAAAAAAGTTTGTTTATTAAAACTGGAATTTTCTTTTGAAATTGTCTCTAAAAGCTTTATCCTTAAATAACCTGTATTTAGATTACTTTAATCACTCCTTTGCTCTTTTCAACCTCCAAGTACCAATACCATTTGTGACTGTGCATAGTTTATTTCTTTCAAGTATTCTAAAAATATATGTTGAAAGTGGTCATTACGAAACAACTAGTGTGTAATGAAAACATTAAATGCTGAAAAATACAGAGGTAAAATTGCAAGGATATATTGCTGTGCAATAAAGTAGCCTTTAAGAATCAAATGAACTAAGAAGGCTTCAAATCTCATTTGATTTACTATTAGAAAACAAAAACCTTACTGTTTACTCACCATTGCTTCACAATCATTTTTCTTGCTGTTAACAGAGAGAATTTTATTAAAATTAAAAACTGTACGGTTAGCAGATCCTTAAGTTTTTTATTGTATTAACATAGATTTAGTTTCTAATTCCCGCCTGATTTACTAGATTTAATAGAATTTGAAACTTTGTATTTTCCTCTTTGCATTCTCAAAAATTCTATAACAAATCTTCAAATTCTGTAAATAAATCTGAAAAATTAATAAACTTGGAGCCTAGAACTTACTTCAGATTCCAAACTCATTTGAGAATATTAGATGTTAAAAAAAATATATATATATATGTATATTAATTTTTTTTTTAGAACTGTGTTGAGGATTTGAAAAGTTACAACTCTGAAACTTATTTGCTAGATTCAATAGAATTCGAAACTGTATTTTTTCATGTCTGATATTGCATTCTCCAATTTTGAAATTTTCAAGTCTGAACCATTATTTATTTTTTTTAGATATTTGTTTGAGTTGGTACTAGCACTTTGAAGCTTTATTTATTTATTATTATCTTTTTTTTTTTTGGCAAGTGAGAGTTTGTATATTTTAAGCAAACTGAGATATTTGAATTTGCAGAACGCCTGTCAGTGGCGTCTCTCTGTGACGAAGAGATTTTCATGCCGCGGTTCTTGGACGGCTATTTCGGTGTTAACAGCGCACTCTATGTGACTCTTGTCATTCGAAAGTTTCTTCCTCTGAGTTATGCATCACTAGGGCACGAGGCAAAAAACCTATTGGCGATTGCAACACTCGAATACGCCATCTGGGGAGAGACCGGTTTCATGCCTTTAGCCCTTCTCTCCTTTTCAGTTGTGTAGGAATGTACTACGATATTTTCCCTTTTCTTAATATTTTTCCTTTACATTTAATAAAAAAAAAATTTAAAATTTCCGTGATACTTTTCTTTAGAACTATGTTTAATGTAGTTTTCAGTTCCATATAGTTTTCCAAGTTAGAAGATTTTAATCTATAGGAAAATCAAGAAAGAATCTAACGTACTTCCTTCCTCTATGACTTTCCACACGCTAATGGGGAAAGCATGTGAAGTGTTGCCATAGGAAAAGAGTTCTGCTCTACGCCACCTGCAGACCATTTCGATGGCCAATCCGTCCCGTTACAGTGGTGCAATGACGAATTGTGAGACGAACATCTGCTAGAGTGGTCAGACACAATACCTACCTCTAGGGTTCCGATTAGTCACCTGAACCGAGCTGCTATTTTTTTCTGCTTTTCAAAGTTTAGAATTTTTAAAGGAGTTGAGGGCTCGATATTTGAAAACTCTATGCTCGACTCGTCTGAAAAATAAAAAGAGATATAATTGATAGTCTGTGTCTGAGTTGGACCGTAAGCCTCAGGTTCCAAACTCAAAAATTCCAACTAGCTGCTTAAGTCTCTAATAATATGTTTGGAAAAAAAAATTTAAAACTTTTCAAACATATTATTAGCAGGTCGGCATTAAACTTGGACTTGAATTCTTTACCCTGACAAGAGTTGGATTCAGATTAGGAAAAATGCTAAGTTTCGAATCCTATTGAATCTAGCCAGTTAGTTTGAGAGTTGAACTTTGAAAATTTTCGAAACATTAATTCTTT